GCTGCGGTGCTCCTCCTCTCTGTGCAGTGGGATGGCTTTCGTCCTTAGAGAACTGGCGGCTGGCTGCGTGGCGCTATGAAGCGGAGGGCGGTGAGTCTCTAATGAGAGGCCCCCAGGGAGGGCTCCTACGTCACACAGGGCTGGGCCCCGCCCCTGGGTCAGCAGGACCAGGTGGGGCCAAAAACTTGCATTTCTAACACGTTCCCGGGGGAGGCCTGGACCACACTTGGAGCACCCCTGGTGTGGGGCGTGAGGTGTGAGTAGTCCCTGCTCTGGACCGTCACTGCCGGAGTTGCAATTCCTGTTCAACTTGGGCGAGTTATCGAGCCTCAGTTTCCCCCCTGCCTGTCGTGTGGCGGGAGTGAGCTGCCGCCCGCGTGAGCCGCCACGGTGCCGGTCAGTGCGACGTGGCCCTGCCGCACCCCCTCAGGAGGCGTGGACAGGCGCCACACAGTTGTTTTTAAGATGGAATGAAAATCGTTCTCGTTTCCAGCGCCGCCAAGCAGTGTGAGGGCAAGCCGAGGACAGCCGTGGGTTCCTGTCGGCCCTGCCTTTGGGCCGTTGTCATCCCGGACAAAAACAGACGTGTGTGGACCCCAGGACTCGGGCCGGGGACTCGGGCCGTAACGCCGGGTGTCCATGTCAGCTGGGCAGCCGCCCCCACTGGGCCCTCGCTCCCGTGTAACTGAAAATGCTGCCCTCGCAGTATACCAGTAGGGGTGATGTGCACGTGCACAAAGCACTTCGGAAACTGGAAGCACGAAGCACGAGTAAAAGAAGCCTCTTCCCTCAGGGGGGGGCGCCCAATGCCCTGGACGCGCCGGGGTGCTCAGGGCCTCTGCTCCTCTCCTGCTTGTGACTTGCTCATCGGGAAAGCTGCAGGCCTGCCTTCCCGACGGACGTGTGGCTGCAGTGCACAAACCAGCCTTCCCCACCCTTTGCCACCTCCAGTCCCATCACTGTTTGTGTCCTGGCAAGTCAACATTGGACGAAAGGGAGAGAAAAAGCCCTTCAGTTATTTTTCAGTTAAAGAGCAAGATCCACTGGATGCAACCAAATCTTGCTGGCGTTCTTTTTTCCCTGCACGTCCTGAGAACTCGTGCCTGAGGGCTGCCTCCTGAGGGAATCTGTTTGTAATGGCAACGAGGTGGCATGGTGTAATAGAGAGGAAGAAAGTGTGTGGCATCAGATTTGGGTCTCATTATGAGTTTCCACTCTTGGGAATGTTACTTTGTACCTCAGTTTCCTCATCCGTAAAATGGATACCTGTCTTGTGAGACTGTTGCGAGGATGAGAAGACGCATCGAATGCGTAGGGGGTGCCCGCTCAGTGCCGCTCGTAATGGTAAAACTTCACGGCCTGGCGGGTGAGCACAGCTCCGCCTCGGTCCTTGCGGGGTCCTGTGCAGGCTGCATATCGCCAGCTGCCCTCCTGTGCCTCCGTCAGCTCTGCTGGGAAATGGGCTCGCAAGAACCCCTCCCACACAGTGTTGGAGGGTCAGTGAGACAGGCTGGGCCTGGCCGCTGGCAACTGTTCCATCGTCATTGCTTTTTATTGCCACTCAGACTGGCCTTTCGGAGGATTCCACTCTGTTACCAGGAGTGCCCCGGCACGTTTCCGTTCAGATGCCACCTGTGATGTCACTCAAATGTGAAGCCTTGGCCTCCCCGAATGCCGGTTTCCAGCTGTTTCTAACGCAGCGTTTCTCAAATTTGAAAGTGCATACACATCACCAGGGGTGCTATTAAGAAACAAATCTTGATGCAGCAGCCCTGGGGTGGGGCGGGAGATGCATTTCTAGTGAAGCTCCAAGCTTCACTTGGATAAGCCAGATTCTAAAGGCTCTGCTCGTTGTTCCAGGCTCCACCACTAGGGGGTGCTCAGCCAATGCAGCAGCCTCAGGGCGCCTGGTTGACAGCTGTGAGCATCAACAAACACATCGTTCCTAAAAATGCAGTGTGCCCTACGTAGTAGAGAATCCCAGTCTCTAATACATACCGACATATTTATTAATTCTGTGAATTAAAAAACCTCAAAGGCCCCAGTAAATCCTATCACCATAATGATATGCTGCAGTTCTCAAAATCCTCCTGAGGAAGGTGCACCACACCCTGCAGAGCCCCCACCTTCCAGCACCCACTGTCCCGAGGCAGTGCTGCCTCGGATGCAGCCCTGAGCTAAGCATAACCAGGCCCCACTTTCTTTCATTTTAATGTAGAGCTTGTGTGGAAATTTCTGGGACTACCGTTTTCACCAACCTTCCCTACCCCCTCTTATAAAATACCTCCTCTTTGCTTATTCAAAGCTGGGCTCCAATGCATTGGGGAAGGTAAGATGGATCAGCAGCTGACCACCAAACAGAAGCAACGTTGAGAAACATTTTCATCAACTATTCATTCCACGGAGGCCAAGTGAACCAGAAATACATGGCGTGTGTTGGAACAAGAGGGAAACCTCCCAGACACCGAATATTTTTATGAGTGCTGAGTTAATTCTCATTAGACCAGGGCAGAACCTGGAACAGGAAAACGTGCAGTGCAGGGTCCTGGTGGCAACGGCATGCTGTCCTGAGGGCACCTGTCCGCAGAGATGGACTTCTAGTCCCTGCAGCCTTCCTGCCCACCTTCCCTCTCACCCTCAGATGTGTCCAGAACAGAACGTTTTTCTGATCAGCCCAGGGCTGTCCAGTTGACATGTGCTAGAGTTTGCTTGGGGGAAAATATCTAGTAAGTCAGGATGGAGGAACAGCCCAGCTTGCCACCTGACCGAGGGCAGGCAGGGCACCCATTGGGCACAGCAAGATGTGTGTTACTGAGATAGAGTTGCCTGCAGGCATTGTTCCATAAGGTCATTGTATAACCAGCCCTGCCAGTGGGTGCAAAGGCACTGCACACATCCGTGTGCTACCAGGCTGCTCTCATGGTCCTTCTCCAGGCCACAGGCCTGGGCGTGTTTGTATCCACAACCCCAACCCCTGTCACCCAGCCTCAGCCACAAGCCCCAGCAGGGCGGGACAAGAAGAGACAAAAGTGACAAACATCCACAAATTGAGCCCCTGAGTATTGTTGTCCTGATAACATAGCTTAAGCTCCCTTGAGCCCCTCACCAAAGAGATCAGCTTCGTTTTCAAGGTCCAGTTTGCTTTTAAAAAGACCAGGTTATGCTTGAAGCTCTGCCCCACGTCACTGTTTCTCACATCACTGGATGAAGTTTGCCAGGATGCTTCCCAGCGCAGTGCAGGTGGGCTAGAGACCTCCAGCCAGCCCACAGGGAGGCTCTCAGAGGGCATCAGCATGGCCTGTGAGTAGGAAGATACGGGCCTCCGGCTCGCCCCATGACTGTGCGCAGCTGCTGAGAGACAGGCTCCTTCCCCCCCGGGGCTTGCCTCTTTCCACCCGCACCTCCCCAATAGGCCACTGGTTCTGAGGCCACGTGAGCGGCTTAATTAAAAAGCAGAGATTGGGCCGGCCCCGTGGCTTGGCGGTTGGGTGCGTGCGCTCCGCTACTGGCGGCCTGGGTTCGGATCCCGGGCGCGCACCGAGGCACCGCTTCTCCGGCCATGCTGAGGCCGCGTCCCACATGCAGCAACTAGAAGAACGTGCAACTATGACGTACAACTATCTACTGGGCCTTTGGGCAGGGGGGAAGGAGGAGGAGGATTGGCAATAGATGTTAGCTCAGAGCTGGTCTTCCTCAGCAAAAAGAGGAGGATTAGCATGGATGTTAGCTCAGGGCTGATCTTCCTCACAAAAAAAAAAAGAAATCAGAGATTGATCATAAGTTTTGGGTGGGAGGCAGGCGAAAGCTTCTATTTATCCTCCTGAAAGGCAAAGAAACATCTCTCTGAGCTCTGGACACCAGCAGGGGCAGTACTCAGGGAACCACAGGTGTGGGGAGCCCCAAGAGAGGAAGAAAGAACTGCGCCTTCCAGCTGTCACCATTCCTCCTTCAACCACCCACCAAGCACCGCTTTCCTGCTCCCTGCCCCCTCACCAGCCACCATTCCAGAAAGAAGGAGTGAGGCCCCGGGGACACGAGATCGGGGGCCCAGGGTACGGGACGTGCCCGCCTCTGTTCTGAGCAGGTCACCTCCAGGGTCTCTGTTGATTCAAGGCACCACAGGCTGGCCTGTTGCCTGGTGCCCCGTCCACCCCTCAGCAACCCCCCTCTTTTGGTAAAATTGCTGAGAAGCATTCCAATGACCGGCAGTTGAGAAAAAAAGAAGGAAAGAGGCGGGAATGACAGAACTCACTGTGCGCCACAGAGGGAAGGGACTGCCCCTCCGTCGTGTGCTGGTCTGGAGGCACCCATGCCCACGCTTGAGGCAGCTCTGCAGGTGACAGACACCAGGCAAAGGGGCAGAGGCCGCGAGCTCAGAGAAGTGAAGTCCCTGGGCTCCAGAAGCGGCCAGTCTCCAGAGAGGAGACACGCTGGCTTTTAGAGCTCTAAGCAAGTGGTTTGTTTTCAGCGACATGGAAACTGCTCCGAGGTTGGGCTGGAGGGGCAGCAGGATGGCGCCAATAGCCTCCTTGGGCTCCCAGGCCAGCTCCTGTCCCAGGGGTATCGAGGAGGGCCCGAGGGGGTGGGGTTGTTGCCCCAAGAGCCTGCGTCTTTGCCCCTCAGCCGGCAGATGACATTTCTCATGCGCCAGCGACAGTCACATTTCCTGTCTAAACTGAGCCCTGAGGCGCGTGGCACCTCACAGAAGAGGAGCGTCACGCGAGCCAGTCCTTAGCCTGTCCGCTCCTTCCCCAGCCTCCCCCTATCTTGTCTGTAGGGCTTTCTGTTTGCCCTGTTTCTATTTACAAGGTGGAAGGATCAAAAGTTTGTAACCCTGCACTCCTGTGACCTCCTCTACTTGCTGGACACAAACGGAGGACTGTAGAGCAGGCCTTTCGGGGTCACCGTCCCCTGGGCTGCCCCAAGCAATTCTGAAATAACTGCTCAGAGAGCAGGTGTCTGTGTTCTCCCGAGAACTTTCTCAAGGAAAACCTCCCTGTTTCTCACAGAAGCCTCGCAGGGGGCTGGCCAGGGTCCAAGTGTGGGCACATTCCTCCCCGCTGGGCTGGCTGGGAGGACAATGGTGCTGATTCCAGGGGGCACTCACCTGTCTTTTCTCAGGAGCTGCTTTCCCACGGGCAGACCCACTTCACGAATGACTCCAAACTGGTAGAGACAAAAGCGAGACAGAAGGAAGCTTATCTAAAACATGGTCATTTTTATTAATTGCAGAACTCAAGTCTGGCCTAAAGGAAGGTTAACCATCAGGACATCATCTTCTCTGTGGCAGAACACTTCTGTTTGTTTTGGTCGAACAGTTCCTTAGCGATCTGACTGATCACAAAATCAGCTTCCGTGGCATCCCTGCTAAGTGACATTTATTACATAGAAGGGGAGTTTTATGAATCATGGTTTCGAGGGAAGGCAAAGGTCATTTCTGCTCTTAAAACAGTTTGATCACAACTATTTAAAAAATGTGTCGTAGGAAAAATCCTAGAGGAAAATACACCAAAATGTCAACTTTAGACAGTGAAGCTGTAGTGATTTTTTTTACTTCTTTTCTGATTTTTTCCAGATTTTTCATAATAAGCATCAATTACTTTTATAACAAGAAAAAGTTTTAAAAATACATCCCTGGGCCAGCCCCATTGGCCTAGTGCTTAAGTTTGATGTGCTCTGCTTCGGTGGCCCCAGTTCGGTTCCTGGGTGCGGACCTACACCACTCATCTGTCGGTGGCCATGCTGTGACAGCAGCTCACATACAAAATAGAGGAGGACTGGCAACAGATGTTAGCTGAAGGCGAATCTTCCTCAGCAAAAAAATTAAAAAATTAAAAAAATACATCCCTGTTCTATGTAATTGAAGAATTACTCAAGTGTTATTTTCCCCCAATAATATTTTTATGTACCCATACTTTTCTCCTCTTTATAGACTGCATATATTTCATCTCAGTTCATAGGAAAATAGAGTTGGTAAGGCTTGCAAACCTCCCCAGCACCTGCTCTTCAGTTTTAGCAGAGTTCTCTCTCAGATAGGTCTTATTTAAAGAACAGTAACCCTTGAGGGCTCAGAATGCTCTTGAGGGATTATTAAATACGCTAAGAAATTAAAATGTTTCCTTTGGCTGCACCCCTAGCCCATTCATCCTCCAGAATTCTAGGTCATCCAGCTCCGTGGCCGCAGCTGAGTTTCAGTCCCAGAAGGCGAGGTTTCCCCAGGTGGTTCTGAGGAAGGCCCGGCGACTGTGTTCTCTTGCAGGTGCAGGAGCTGCCTCGGGAGTCTCGGCCAGCCTCCCCAGCACCTCCGGCAGCAGCACTCTGTCTCCCTTCCAGCACGCCCACAAAGGTACGGAGGACGCACAGGTGTTGATCTTCGGGAGGTGGAGGCTAGGAGGAAGCGGGGCTTGGAGAAGGAGAGAGGAAATTATTGGGGCTGGCTGTGGAGATCTTCCCCCCTCATCTCACTTCCCTAATGTGATCTAATCACACCCGGTGCCCCGGTGGGTGGAAGTTAGCAATTATCTCTGCAAGGAGAGGAACTGATCAGCTGTGGGTGTCCGGGGCCGTTAGCCCCCGGTGGCGTTCTAATCAGGTCACGGTCCCAGGTGCTCAGGGCGCCAGCGGCGAGGGCTGGAGAGGCACCAGCTTGGGCTTGTTCGGGCCTGACGTCCACAGCAGTTCTGTCACTGGCTGTCCAATAAACCTGCTGATCTTGAACTTGAATGTTCACGTCCAATAACTACATTTCACTCCGTAATCCCTTAGAGATGGAAAGGTCCACAGTTTCTCTCAGAGCACGACCTCTCATTGGCTCCTCCTTCCCTCTCACACTGTCTCGATGCCGTCCGTTATTTCGGCATATTTAAGGCCTAGGTCTCAGTGAGGCCCTCATAATCTCATGGTGCGCTCAGCACACCAGCCTCGCCCCGAACCTGCCCCTCCTGCATGTTCACACAGCGCATCAGAGCAGGGAGACTCTGCCAGGACGTAGGAGTCTCGTTTCCACCAGGCCCCGGGGGAAGTAGCACACAACACAGAGAGTATTAAATCATTTGTATTATCCATACCCAGCATCCAGAGGATGATAGCCCCAAATGACAGCCTGAGGCCAGTTTTCCTGCAGGCACACCCCACCCGGGAGGGCGGGCAGCTCTTGGGCTACCATCTTGGCGCCTCTTTTTAAAACCAGGCTGCAGCCTCCCTCAGACGGTCCAGGTGCTTTAGATGCTGTCCCTGTCCCATTTGGGTGGTAGGTGACCTGGATCCTGTTCCACAAGAAACAGGATCTTGTTTGGTCATTTCCGAGAAAGAGCACAAGCGTTAGGGCATTTTACATGTCAACGGCAGACAGTACCAGAAAACAGCCAAGCCCCCCGGGAGAGACTGCTGTGGTGGGGGAGACAGAACGAGGAAGGGTGCGTCAGCCTCTGCTCCGCCTTTGCCCTGGGACTCTATTACTACACTAAGGTTGAAGATGAAGGAGACACAAGATAGAGCCAAACCAAGACTAAAATCTCTAGCCCTCAGAGGTGACTTTTGCTTGGAAACAACTTGGATGGAAGTGTCTTCAGGACACTTGTTCCTGGGCCTTTCTTCCTCTTCACGTCCCACCTTGCTCGGGGTTCCCAAAGTGGTAGAACCAAAAGCAAGCACCCCAGGAACAACCAGCAAACCTGAACCATGGTATTCTGGAGAAGTCTGGATTAGCCTCCGTCATTGCCTTCTCTCCCCAACTCCAACAGAGCTCTCAGGCCAAGGGCACCTGGCCACGGCCCTGATCATTGCCATGTCCACCATCTTCATCATGGCCATTGCCATTGTCCTCATCATCATGTTCTACATCATGAAGACGAAGCCTTCTGCCCCAGGTGACTGCTCCCCAACGCCCCACTCCTGCCCCACACCCCCTCCCTCTTGGACAGTTCCATCAACTTACCCAGTTGGTGAGCCTGGCTACTCACATCCTCCTCTTTCTCCAACCAGCCTGCTGCACCAGCCAACCCGTGAAGAGCGTGGAAGCCCAAGTGAACAAGGAAGAAGAGAAGAAAGAGGCCCAAGGTCTGCAAACAGAGCCCCTACGAACACGGGTGTCCGTCCTCCGGGGTGGACATTGTCTGCCCCTCTCACCAGTGCCCCAGCAGCCTGCTCCTCACTGCTTATGCTCTTGTGCCACTTAGAACAGGGGCCACAGGAAGGTGTCGCTGCACCCCCATTGCGCTAATCCTAGGGCAGTGTGGTTTAGTCACCAGGGGGTCTGCTGAAGAGGAAGTGAGCGGGGGGGAGGACAAGCTTGGAGCTGGGAGCCCACTCTAACTCCTCCCTCCCCAATCTTCCCGTTTACCTACAGACAGTGTGGTGATTTTCTCTGAGAAGGACGAATTCGAGAAGCTGACAGCAGCTCCAGCAAAGACTGCCAAGAGGTAAGTCAAGCCAAGGCAGCCGCTTGGCTGTAGGGTGGGTGGCCCCCAGCCTCAGGCTGAAGTCAGGGGTCCCCGTGGGATTTTGAGCCGGAAGGGTGCTGGGCATGCCAGGCAAGGAGTGCAGCAAGAAGCCTGGCCACTGCCTGGAGGCTGTGCTGGGGATGGCTCCCAAGGGAGCGGGGACCAGCGAGGCAGTCCCTGTCAGCACCGGGTCTCAGCCTCACCACTGCCCTGCAGCAGGGGTCAGGCGGTATGAGGGCCAGTAGTCTTGGGACGGTGGTGCTTTTCCCCGTCACCTGCTTTCAGGTAGGGACAGAGGCAGGCCAGCCAACTCCCACGGAGGCCTGCAGACCTAATGGGCTTCACCCGTCGATTTTGTTTCCGTTGTGTCATCCGGTCTCAAGGGTGGTGTCTGAGTGTGGGCTTCCTACCTGTAACCTGCTCACCAGCAAATACCAGTCTTTAAAAAAAAGTCTTCAGCCAAACCACAGAAAGCAAGCAGGATGCCTATGAAAAAAGGAGTTGTTTTTCATGTATTTGAAATGATTTTGAGTTTAAGCTCCAACCCACATGTGCCTAGGGCCGTGGACCCGGGCACTTAGCCCGCATGCCTTCCTGTGGGATTTCCCCAAGCCCCTCGCCGGGCCTGCTGAGGCCCGCATCCCATGATGCACACATTTCAGCCAGGTCACCCCTAGTCAAGAGGGGGCTCTCCAGGCGCAGGCTCCACTCAGCTTCGTCCCCATTATCCCAGAGAGCCTGCACGGGGCCAGGGCCGGCCACATAAGCGTGTTTGCTGACTGAAGACACGAGGATGCACTTGGTGCTCGTCTGGATTAAATGCAGGAAGCCAGGACGTGCTCAGGAAACCGTTACTGGGCCGGGTGGGGGTGGAGAGATGAGCAGGTGCCGTCCCCACCTCACTGGCAGCCCCACGCCCTGAGGAGCTCGCAGGGCTCCCTGTGAATCTGCTCACAGCACCTGTAGGCCCCCCTGCACCCAGGCACTCGGGCAGAAGGGAGCGGAGAGCCGAGGATGCCTTTCTCATCTTGTGTCCGGGGCCTCGTGCTCACGGGCTGCTGGGTAAGAGAGGAACAAGTCCCAGCTTCCCGATGGTCTCCCCCGGGAGAACGTGTCTGGGCCGCACCTTCCCGGGCGCCCCCAAGGACCGCCCTCTTGTTTCCGCAGCGAGAACGACGCCTCGTCGGAGAACGAGCAGCTGCTGAGCCGGAGCATGGACAGTGACGAGGAGCCCGCCTCCGACAAGCAGGGCTCCCCCGAGCTGTGCCTGCTGTCGCTGGTCCACCTGGCCAGAGAGAAGTCGGCCACCACCGCCAAGGCGGCCGGGGTGAGGCCCGCCGGGGACTGGAGGGGAGGATGGGCCGCAGCCTTTCTTGTTGACCTAGCTCTGCTGTGAGCCGAGCCCAAGCCAGGAAACCGAGATGGGGGACAGGTTTAAAACAAGATATTAAAAAATAGCAGACATTTCTTTTATTATATAGCTTTATAGAAGAAAATGAAAAATAATAAGCAAAGAGAACAAGTTAAAGTGACTTGGAATACCATAGGACAGGAAAAGCCTTTGTAAACATACTGATGTGTAGCCAACCAGACATGTATATATGTTTTATATATAAATATAACATATATTTACATATAAATAAACAATAAGTTTCAAAACAAATATATAGATAGATATAGATAGTACGCATTCTTGTGTAAAAATGCTCCACATGGTTTATCACCTGAAGGAGGCCGTGGCAGGGGACGTGGGCAGAGATGAGCACAGCCCCGGCCCTGGCTGCCTGAGAAGCTAGCACGTGGTTCACCAGCAGCCTGCTCCTAACCTCAGGTCATCTATGTTGCTAGGCAACCCTGCTCACGGTAAAAATGTCCCTGATTGGGAGGCTGGATCTGGTGTGGGTCCTGATGGGGACACCATGCTCTGGGCTGCCCAGTCATCGACCTCTGTAGTGGGGCCTGTCACTTGCAGGGGCCCTGGAGGCCTGTGGAGTTGTTACCAGAGATATTGGCTCTGGTGGGGCATGAGACCTTCCATCTGGGGCTACTTCAGCACCTGTCCATCATGGGCCTCGTCTCCTTGCACCGAGCCGCGTGCTCTGGGTAGAGGAGAGCTCCTGCCCAGCTCTGTGGACTGCTGCATAAACGGCTACGATATCCCAGGCTGCCCGCTGGCAAGCTGGGGTCCCCTACATTCATCCTTCCAAATAGACCGATGCCAGGTATGGCCTCTGGCTGTCTTGTGAGTCTGAATGTCCAGCGGAGCCTACGAAGTGCCCCCAGTGGGCACTGAGAGTGTTTGAGGTGGATAACCCAAAGAAAATGCTTTCTCCCTGTGGATGAGATGTTCATGTGAGGACTCAGCTCAACATTTTTGATTGGAAATCAAGGGAAAGCAGCTACCTGCCAACACTGAGATGGAGGATTTGGTTCTTTTTCTGAAAATTAACGTTCTCAACCTTTTTCATAGATTCAAAGTCGAAGAAAAAAGATATTGGATATGTATGCCAACGTGTGTGGAGTGGTCGAAGGTAAGTGTACAAGGACCATTGGGCGGACGCTGACCCAGGCCTTGTCCCAAGGCCCTTCTCGACGGTCAGCAGTGAGGAGGAGCCTCTGACAGGAGTCCTGCCGCTCCTGTGAGGGGACCAAGACAAGTCTCTAAATTGCTTTCTTCTTCACCAGGAGGGAAAAACCCTCCTCATTGAGTTAGGGGGTTTTCCCTGGCTTCATCAGGCTGCTCCATTCCATCTCCCTGGCATCTCTCTGGGGCCTTGCCCATCTGGCCTGGGCGGCAGGAGTGGGGCCTGGTGCTGCTCATTTCTCCCCTCGGGCCAAGCCCAGCACCCTGAGCCTGGGGCAAGCTTGCTGGTTGGGTGCTCTGTTGGCCAGAAATAACTACTGAGGATGAGTTCTGGGGGCCAAGAACACTGTTCAGTTGCCTGCTGAAACGTGGCTTCTCTCCATAAAGACTTGTGCCCCAGGGTGAGCCTGTCTGCTCAAGCCTGGCATGACTGGGAGCCATCAGCTGTCCAGTGGAGGATGCTCTAAGACTTGCACTCTGTCACCCTAGAAAGCTCTTCTCCGTTCCAGAAGATGTCTCTGCTTTAAGAGCCTATACCCCAGGAGCAGTGGTTGTCAAATTAATTTTAGGAACCCCACAGGAAAGAGGAGCCCCTCCAGTGAGACTGGGCGGGTGAAGAGTGGAAAGCCCTATGCGCTCAGCCACCCCAGGGCGAGTGTGCCTTATAGCCCCATGGTGACGCCCACACAGCCAGGGCTGAGAGCCTCAGACCAGCAGGGCCTCTCCCTGGGTGGACAGGAGAGTCACCTGCAGAGCCTTGTGCTCTCTCCCTCTGCCCAGTCCACCCCACCTGCCCCGAGATCCTGATGGGATTTTTCTGGGGTGAGTCCCAGGCATCAATGTGTTTTGTTTTGTTTTTAATTAAACTTTTTATTTTGAGGTCATTGTAGATTCACATGCAGTGGTAAGAGAAAATATAGAGAGACCCTATGTACCCTTTACTCAGTTTCTCCCAATGGTAACGTCTTGCCAAAGCATCCCTAAAAGTCACAACCAGGACACTGACATTGATACAGTGAAGACAGAGCCCATTTCCATCACCACAGGGATGCCTCAGGTTGCCCTTTTCAGCCACACCCATTTTCCACCCACCCCACCTTCTCCTTAGCCCCTGGCAACCACTAATCTGTTCTTCATTTCTACAATTGTATCATCTCAAGAATGTTATGTGAGTGGAATCATGCGCTGGGTGAACTCTTGCAATGGCTTTTTGCACTCAGCGTAATTCCCTGGAGGTTCATCTGGGTTGTCACGTATAATGTAGTTTGTCCCTTTTTATTCCTGAGTAGTAGTCTGTGTTAAGGATGTACCACAGTTTGTTTAATCAGTCATCCATTTAAGAACATCTTGGTTGTTTCCAGTTTTGGGCCATAACGAATAAAACTGCTATAAGTATTCATGTATAGGTTTTTATGTGAACGTTAAGTCATCATTTCTCTGGGATAAATGCCCAGGAGTGCAATTGGTGGGTTGTATGGTAGTTGCATGTTTAGTGTTTTAAAAAGCTGCCACACTGTTCTCCAGAGTGGCTGTACCATTGACATACATTCGCACCAGCATGTCTGAGTGATCCAGTCTCTCCACATCCTCACCAGCATGTGCTGGTGGTACTGTTTTTTGTTTGAGTCATTCTGAGAGGTATGTTTTCATACCTCGTTGGGTTTTTTTTGTTTTTTTTTTCTGAGGAAGATCAGCCCTGAGCTAACATCCGATGCCAATCCTCCTCTTTTTTTGCTGAGGAAGATTGGCCCTGGGCTAACATCTGTGCCCGTGTTCCTCTACTTTACATGGGACATCGCCACAGCATGGCTTGACAAGTAGTGCGTTGATGTGCGCCCAGGATCTGAAGCTGCGAACCCCGGGCCGCTGAAGTGGAGCACACTGCATTTAACCGCTATGCCACCAGGCTGGCCCCATACCTCATTGTTTTAATTTGCATCTCCTTAATTTTTGAACATCTTTTCATGTGCTTATTTGCCATCTGTATGTCCTCTTCAATGAAATGTGTTTTCGTGTCCTTTGCCCATTTTCCAATTGGATTGTGTGATTGTTTTGCTGTTGAGTTTTGAGAGTTTTTTTTTCTTTAGTGAGGACGATCAGCCCTGAGCTAACGTCTATTGCCAATCCTCCTCTTTTTGCTGAGGAAGATTGGCCCTGGGCTAACATCCGTGCCCATCTTCCTCCACTTTATATGGGACGCCGCCACAGCATCGCTTTGATAAGTGGTGCGTAGGTCCATGCCTGGGATCCGAACCTGTGAACCCTGGGCCACTGAAGCGGAGCACGCGAACTTAACCACTACACCACAAGGCCTGCGCAAGAGGTTTTTTAAATATATATTCTAGATACTAGTCCTTTGATGGATGTGCGGTTTGCAAATATTTTCTTTACTTTGTAGCTCATCTTTTCATTCTCTTAATAGGGTCTTTCAAGAGCAAAATTTTAAATTTTGAGTCAAATTTATCAAGTTTTCCTTTTATAAATTGTGTTTTTAGTATCAAGGGTAAGGTCTCTTTGCCTCGCCCAAGATCCCAAAGATTTTCTCCTATGACTTTTTTCCTAAAAGTTTTATAGTTTTATGTTTTGTGTTTGAGTCCATGATCAGTTGGAGTCAATTTTTATGTAAGACAGGAGACTTAGGTCAAAGTTCATTTTTTTGCCTATAGATGTCCAATTGTTCCAGCACTGTTTGTTGAAAAGGCTGTCTTTCCTCCATTGAATTGCTTCAGCACCTTTGTAAAAAATCACCTTGAGGGGCTGGCCCCATGGCCGAGTGGTTCAAGTTCCATGCCCTCCACTTCAGGGGCCCGGGTTTGTGGGTTTGGATCCTGGGCACGGACCTACTCCACTCATCAGCCATGCTGTGGAGGTGTCTCACATACAAAGTAGAGGAAGATTGGCACAGGTGTTAGCTCAGCACTAGTCTTCCTCAAGCAAAAAATAAAAAAGAAAGATTGCCAGCAGATGTCAGCTCAGGGCAGCTCTGCCTCACCCCAAAAAGAAAAATCACCTTGGGCGTGTTTGTGGGGGTCTGTTTTCTGTGTTCTCAGTTCTGTTGTATTGATCTATGTGTCTGTCTCTCTGCCGGTGCCACATAGCCTTGATTCCCATAGCTATATAATGTCTTGAAATCAGATAGACTGAGTGCTCACACTTTATTCCTTTTTTTCAAAATTATTTTAGCTATTCTAGTTCCTTTGCCTTTGCATATAAATTTTAGAATAATTGTCCCTCTATCTGCGAAATATCTTGCTGGGATTTTTTTTTAATAATTTTATTTATTTATTTATTTTTTCCCCCAAAGCCCCAGTACATAGTTGTATGTCATAGTTGCACATCCTTCTAGTTGCTGTATGTGGGACGCGGCCTCAGCATGGCTGGAGAAGCAGTGCATCAGTGTGTGCCCGGGATCCGAACCCGGGCCGCCAGCAGTGGAGCGCACGCACTTAACCGCTAAGCCACAGGGCCGGCCCTCTTGCTGGGATTTTGATAGCAACTGCATCAGTTGCATTTTGATAGGAATTGTATACCAAGTTTTGGGGAGATTTGACAGCTTTACTATGTCGAGTTTTCTAATCCATGAAAAAGGTATGTCTCGTCATATATTTAGATTTCCTTTGATTTATTTCATCAGAATTATGTCATTTTCAGAATACAAGTCTTATATGTATTTTGCTAGATTTATACCTAAGTATTTCATTTATTTTTTGAATGATGGTAAATATTTTATTTTAATTTCAATGTCTATGTATTGATTGCTAGAATATAGTAATACAATTTATTTTTGTATTTATCATGTATCCTGTGACCTTGCTGAACTCACTTAAAAGGTCTGGGAGTTTTCTTGTAGATTTCTTGAGATTTTCTACAGAGATAATCACATCTGCAGATGGGGACAGTTTTATTTCTTCCTTTCCAATCTGTATGCCTTTTCTTGCCTTGTTGCACTGGCGATAACTCCCAGCACTAGGTTGAGTGAGAGTGATAAGAGCAGACATCCTTACCTTATTCCTGATTTGAAGGTAAAGCATCCAGTTTTTCACCGTTAAGTATAATGTTAGGTCTAGGTTTTTTGTAAATGATTTACATTAATTTTGTGTATAGATTACATTAATTTTTAAATATTGAACCAGCCTTGCATCCTGGAATAAAGCCCACTTGTCATGGTGTAAAATTCGTTTTATATATTGTTGAAATCTATTTGCTAATATTTTGTTAAGGATTTTGCATCTATATTCATGAGGGATATTGGTCTGTAGTTTTCCTTTTTTGGTACTGTCTTTATCTGATTTTGGTATCCAGCTAGTACTAGTTTCACAGAATAAGTTGGGGAGTGTTTCCTCCTTTTCTATTTTCCAGAAGAGATTATGTAGATTTGGTGTTAATTCTTCTTTGAATGTTTGGTAGAGTTCTCTGGTGAAACTATGTGGGCCTGGAGATTTCTTTTGGGGGGATTTTTAAAACTACAAATTCCATTTCTTTAATAGTTATAATATAATAATAATATTCAGATGATCTATTTCATATTGGGTGAGCTGCAATAAGTTTGTGCTTTTTTGAGGAGTTGTTCCATTTCATCTAAGTTGTCAAATTTATGTGTGTAGCATTGCTCATAGTATTCCCTTATTGTCTTTTTGATGTCTGCGGAGTCTGTAGTGATACCCCCTTCTTCATTGCTTGATATGGATAATTTGTGTCTTTATTTTTCTCTTCGTCAATCTTACTAGAAATTTGTCCATTTTATTCATCTGTTCAAATAACTGGGTCTTTTCACATTTATCTGTATTGTTTTTCTCTTTTCAATTTCATTGATTACTGCTGTTTTCTTTATTATATCCTTCCTTCTGTTACTTTGAGTTTATTTTGCTAATCTTTTTATAGGTGCTTGAGATGGGAGCTTAGATTATTGATTTGAGACTTTTCTTCTTCTGTAATATATGTATTTGTGGTGTAAATATCCCTCTCAGGATTACTTTTGCTGTGTCCTATAAATTTTGATATGTTGTATTTTCATTTTTATTCATTGTAAACATTTCCTTTGAGATTTCCTCTGTGACCTTTGGATTATCTAGAAGTGTGTTGTTTACTCCTCATCCCACACCAAATGCGTCCACAGAGGCCTGCTGAAGAGCAGAGTTCCCGTGGTGCAGTAGGAGGCCAGCACTGTGGAGTTGTCCCCAGTGCCAGTGGCTCTCCTCACAGAGAGGGAGTGACTGCCGCTGAATCCTCCCTGCCTGGGAGGCACCAACAGCCTTTGGTTCCGGAACCTCCCAGAAAAAGGAGGTAGTTCCACAGTCTTTCCTCCCTCCACCCCCACGTGCAAACTGATTTTCTTAGAAAGGAAAGTCAAGGGAACTAGTAGGAACCTATTAAAGGTCTCTGAAAGCAATGTGTCTCCATTTGAAAAATAAAGCATGTCTTTAAATGCATTAACTCCATGGGGAAATAAATATAATGAACTAAATTCAGTCCTTGCCCCCAAAAAATAAATAAATAAAAGAAGTGTGTTGTTTAGTTTCCAAATATGTGAAGATTTTTCTGTCATCTTTCTGTTGTTGATTTATAGTTTGATTTCATTGTGGTAAGAAAATACACTCTTTATACAATTTCAGTTCTTTTAAATTCTTCTGTTGAGGTTTATGGCCTGCACTTCAAAAGAATGTGTATTCTGTTATTGTTGGGTGGAATGTTCTATAAATGTTGACTGGATTCTGTTGGTTGATGGTGTTGTTGATTTCCTTCTAATCGTTTTACCAATTACTGAGGAAGAGGTGTTGAAGTCTCCAGCTATAATTCTGCGTTTGTCTATTTCTCCGTTCAGTTCTGCAAGTTTTTGCTTCGCATATTTTGGAGCTCTGTTGTTTGATGCATATGTATTTAGGAATGCTATGTCTTCTTAGTGGACTGACCCTTTTATCGTTATATAATGTCCCTCTCTGTCTCTGGTAGTTTCCTTTGTTCTGAAGTCTACTTTATCTGAGGTGATAGCCACTTCTGCTTTCCTTTTATTAATTTTATTTCCTTCTACATGATATATCTTTTTCTATTCTTTTACTTTCAACCTGCCTATATCATCATATTTGACATGAGTTTCTTATAGACAGCATACAATTGGGTCATTTTTCAAATCCACTCTGCCAAGCTCTGCTTTTAGATGATATTTGTACTATTTACATACAGTGAAGCTATTCATATGTTACGGTTTAAGACTGTTATTTTATTTTTTGTTTGTTGTTTGTTGTCTCTGTTTTTCATTTCTCTGTTTTCGTTTTCCTGCTTTCCTTTGGGTCATTTGCATATATTTTGGAAATCCATTTTGATGTATTTTGAGTGATGTATTTGATGTGTTTTGAGTGCTGCTTTTTCCATAGCTATTTTAGTGGTTTCTCTAGGTGTTATATAAACATAACTTATCACGGTCTACTGGTGTCAGAATTTTACCAGTTTGAATGAAGTATAAAAAACCTATCTCCCTTTATGTTCTTCCTCTTTATAGTTGTCTTAAGTATTGTCTTAATATTTTTCTCTATATATTGTCTTAAATATTTGTCTTAAATATTTCCTCTACATATATTTAGAACCACATCAGTTGCATCAATTGGCAAACATAATTTAGAAAACTTAAAAGAAAACCTATTGTATTTACCCAAAATTTTGTTTACGGTGTTCTTTTCTGATGTTCCAGGGTTCACTTTTTTATCATTTCCTTTCTGTTTAGAGACTTCCTTTAGTTAATCTTTTGGGGTAGGTCTGCTGGTGACAGATTCTCTTAGTTTTTCTTCATCCTGAGAATGTCTTGATTTCCCCTCATTCTTGAAGGATATTGTCACTGGGTTTGGGATACAGGGTTGACAGTTCTTTTCTTTCAGTACTTGAAAATACTATGCCACTTCCCTCTCGCCTTCAGGTTTCTGATGAGAAATACACTGCTATTCTGATTACTTTCCCCCATAGGTGTGGTGTTGTTTTTCTCTGGTTGTGTTCAAGATTTCTTTCTCTTTAGTTTTCAGAAGTTTATTTATGATGTGTCTTGATAGGAATTGCTTTAGGTTTATCCTGTTCAGCGTTTTCTCAGCTTCTTGAATCTGTAGGCTTCTGTCTCTTGCCAAATTTGGGAAGTTGTCAGCCATCACTTCTTTTTTCAGCCCCACTCTCTTTCTCCTCTCCTTCTAGGACTCCATGACACAAATGTGAGATCTTTTTTTATAGCCCCACAGGTCCCTGGGGCTCTGTGTTCTTCAATTTATTTTATCTCTGTTGTTCAGTTTGGGTAATTTCTATTCTATTATCCAGCCCACTAATTCTTTCCTCTTGTCTTTATTTTGCCGTTGAGCATGTCTGCTGAGCTGTTTATCTTGATTACTATATTTTTCAGTTCTAACATTTCCATTTGGTTCTTTATATTTTCTGTCTTTTGCTAAGGCTTTCTATTTTTTCATTTGTTTCAAGCATGTTTGTAATTACTTGTTAAAGCATTTTTATCATGGTTTCTTTAAAATCTTTGTCAGATAATTCTAACATCTCTGTTATCTCAGTGTTGACATCTTTTAATTGTCTTCTTTTTTTGAAGAAGAAGAAGATTGGCCCTGAGCTAACATCTGTTGCCAATCTTCCTCTTTTTCTTTTTTGTCACCAAAGCCCCGGTACATAGTTGTATATCCTAGTTGTAGGTCCTTCTAGTTCCTCTATGTGGGACGCTACCTCAGCATAGCTTGATGAGCGGTGAGTAGGTCTGCGCCCAGGATCCGAACTGGCAAACCCTGGGCCACCAAAGCATAACATGCGAACTTAATTGTTACATCACCAGGCTGGACCCTGATTGTCTTTTTTTATTCACTTGAAATCTTCCTGGTTCTTGCTATGATGAGTGAGTTTCTATTGAAACCTGGACAGTTTTACGTCATGTTATGAATCTCTGGATCTTATTTAAACTTTTTGTTGTGGCTGGCTTCCTCTAATACCTCTGTGGCAGGGGAAGGAGGTACCACCTTGTTACTGCTAGGTGGAGGTAGATGTCCAAGTTCCCACTCAGCCTTCATTGACACTCAAGCAAGGACTTCTTTTTATTGCTGGTTAGGAGGTAGAAATCTATTTCTCCAAGTGGTCTCCACTGACACCATGTGGGTGGGGAGGCTTGTTCCCAGCCAGTGATGAGAGAGTCCAGGCTCCTACTGGCCTTCCCTGACACCACCCTGGTGCTGTGTGCAGCCTGCTGAGGATGGACATCCAGGCTCCCCGTTCAGCCTTTGCTGGCCTTGGTGGGGTGGGGCCATGGCTTTTGCTGTGGTGTTTGGCTGTGATAAGGCAGTTATTGTCTAAATGGTTGCTTCTTGCTAAGCTTCTCTTTTCTTTCTGCTCTAGCTAGAGAGAGCAGGCTTTTGTTGGGGCTATTTTTGTTTGTTATTGTTAGTATTTCTGGATTGCTAAGATCTTCAGCTCCATGTGTAGGATAAAGAGGCAAAAGAAAACCCCAGGAGCTTGCCACCGTGTCATTGTGCCAGTCCCAAGGTGCCTAACAGTCTATCTTTTCTCTCCTCTTGTGTTTGCTTTATGCATAGTGTCCAGGGTTTTTACCTGTGCTTAGCAGGAGGAATAGGGAAAAGCATGTCTACTCCATCTTCCAGAAGTGAAAATATATCTATTTTTTAAAAATGCTTCTAGGTGAGTCTAATGTACAGCAAAGGTTGAGAACCATTAGACCACAGAGGTGGCAGTGACTTGACCCAGATAACACCAACTTTGGGCTATCTTTGAGAGCACCTTTCGTAAAGGTGACTACTGTACCCATAAAGGGACATGATACTGTCCATTTGACCCCCTCCTCAGCCCAGCTCAATTTAAGGCAGGGTTACCCAACTAAGGGTAGCCTGTGTTGAAGGCTTTGGTGATTGCTTGAGGGTATTACTGTAACAGTCAGTATGGTAGTTATTTTTCCTAGGAGGAAAGGGGCTATTATTGGAATTAGGGCTCATAGAGAGGCTTCTCATGTGGCTGGCCAAGTCCTCAGTGTTGTTCACCTTAAGCTATGTTTTTATTTTGTGTGGTCTTCTGCATCTGTGTTTCACTTTACAATTTTTTTAAAAAGGTTGAAAAAATAATTTTGATGGTGTTGAGTTTCTGTTGACTACCTTTTGTGAAGTCTGACTGCGGCCCTTTGTCTCTGCAGGTCTCAGCCCCACGGAGCTGCCATTTGATTGTCTTGAGAAGACGAGCCGAATGCTCAGCTCCACATACAACTCCGAGAAGGCGGTTGTGAAAACATGGCGCCATCTCGCCGAGAGCTTTGGACTGAAGAGGGATGAGATTGGGGGCATGACAGATGGCATGCAACTCTTTGACCGCATCAGCACGGCAGGCTACAGCATCCCAGAGCTGCTCACAAAACTGGTACAAATCGAGCGGCTGGATGCCGTGGAGTCCTTGTGCGCAGACATATTGGAGTGGGCTGGGGTGGTGCCGCCTGCCTCCCAGCCACCGATTACACCCTGAGGAGCATGCCTGTGGACTGTCCTCCCTGGGATGCACCAAGGATTATGAGGGCTCTGGAGCTGTGAGTGGTGCCAACAGACTGCCAAGAATCAAGACTTTTTCTGCTATGTCACCAGGGTATGCCTTAGATTGTTCCAAGGAACAAGAGGAAATGAGGCCTGTCCTCCAGTCACTACTGCAAGAGCTCACTCTGGCCTGCCTATGTCACTGATATGCAAGGCGTGCATTTGTCTGATCAAGGAGACCTATGCGGTAGCCAGTGTCACTTACTGCGTGAGTCCTAGGCCTGGGAACACAATGGTTTTGTATTGCACATGAATTGCCTTCCACTCTCATTCTTAGTCAGATTTGACCCTTTTTGGGCAGCAGTGCTCAAGGACACAAGTCATTTAAATTGTGTGTCAGACTGTTTCTGCTTCAGAGAGAAATGAGTGGTCAACTCTGCTTACAGAGGAAAATGATGAGTTCCTAAGAGTTCAGCCATGCGTAATTCTAGATTGGTAGAGTGTCTGAGACTTGTGGATGAGCCTCATGGTGTGGGAGTTTCACTCCAGCCTCCTGAGCCAGTCAGGGAAAGAGGAGCCCCGCGGTGCGGGGAGAGCCTGCGCGTGGAGTCCAGGGACCTGGTTCTAGTTGTGCCAACTTGGGCCATTTTCTTTTCCCTCCCTAAGCCTCAGTTTCTCTTCTGCAAATGAGAGGTTAGTCTGTGATTCTGTAATCAGGAAAAGTAAGATTCAGGTGAGCATATTGGAAATTGAGCTCTTTGAAATGCCAGGCCTTCGAGGCCCTCCGTGTGAACACAGTGTGAGCATCAAGTACAATGGGAATAAAAACAGAAAACGCAGATTTGGAGTATTCAGAGTAACTGCAATTGTTGGCACACGTTTAGAGATAAAGTTAATGAACTGGCATTGTTCTTGGCAAGTTCTCTCATACACCTGCGGTTGCCAAGAGCTTGGGGCCGGAGTGGTGAGCATCCCGGAGGTTAGCGTTCGCTGCTGAGCTGACAGCAGGGCCGACCGTGGATGTCTCCACAGTAACTCGGCTCTGCCTTGTAAAGCAATGTTTTCAAAATGATGAGTCACATGACTGAGCAAATGCTCTGGGGGAGGAAATCAGTCATGTGTTTAAAGCCAACAAACAGTTTCCCACCGATGAATGTAGAACATACTGTGATAGGATCATAATTAGGTCCTGAATATTTAATATCATCATTTACTGTGTCTGTTAGCTGCTCTTTTTCAGAATCTATTTGGTGTATCCTGCAAGCTAAATACTCCATGGCAAAACTTAATTATCCTGTTAAACCCTCTTGGAAATCCTGCGGTGCCCCTTTCTCCTGTTTTGTGATGAGGATGATGAGAGGCTCCCCTTCATTAGACTGCAGGCGCCACCGGTGTTGAGCATGCTGTTCCAGGATAACAGCCTGCAGCTGCCTTGGAGCAATGTTGTCAGTGAAGGAGCAGGGGTGGCAGTTCTCCGGCCCGGACGTTTGCCTCCTTTCACGCTGTTAGAATTCTGGGGCCAGAGAGCCAGCCAGCATCAGACCGTGTTTCATTGGCTCTCAGCCTGCCATTTTTAGGGAGCTAGTCCTTATAGATTTACCCATTCCTTTGTCATTTACTTATTTGGAAACAAATCCAAGAAAGGTTTCCTCTGATGAACTGTAGCCTGCATTATGGAATTCAAGTCAGTGAGACCATAATGACCATCACCAACCAAAGCTGGGCCTCCACCCTGCTCTTATATGGAGACGGTCACTATTTTGCTGTATTTAAAAACATTTAGAAAACACCCCAGGCTAGAGCTGTGGCCTTAGTGAATGAAGTTTAACTGTCAATATTTTTGTCTAACTCTGTATAAATAACTTATTATATTTGACAATTTCAATAAACTAATAAAAAAGACATCTACAGATGCTACAATGTGAGTTCTTTGTGTGCGGTGGGGCGGGGTGGGGGAGGCGGCGGATGAATGGAGAAGGTTCTGATTGCTCTGTTCCTGTTATTGTACTGTGTATGATGAGACTGTAGGATTGGGACCAGCCAGATATGAATTGCCTAAAATGTTATGGCCAGGGCCATGCTCTCAACAGAAGCAAGCATTACAATGAGATCATGTAAAAAACACCTGGGGCATTGCTTTCCAAGTTGCCATCATTAGTGTATAAGGCATTGTATCACTTAGCTACCCCTATGTAACGTACCATCCCAAAATTCAGTGGCTTAAAGCAACAATCACTTTATTATTACATCTCAGGGGTCAGTAGGGGTGCTAGCTGTCCTAGGTTGGGCCCAGTTGGATGCGGCTCAGCTGGGGCCTCTGCCTGCTGGAATACTTTAACTGGAGTAGCTCTGCTCCACTGCCTCTCATCCTCCTCCTCAAACCAGTCCTCTAGCCTAGGCATGCCTTCATTGTGACAATGACAAGTGCGAAATAATGAGCAGAAACACAGAAAGTTTCTTCAGGCCCCTGCTCAGAACTGGCACACTGTCACTTCTAGCTCATTCTATTGGCCAAAGCAAGTTCTACAGCCAAACTCATCTGTGTGAGGAACTGCAAAGTTTCAAACAGTGAAAGGTAAATAATTGGGACAGATAATGCAAATCTCTACAGGTAAATGAGTTTCCTGTGGCTGCTGTAACAATTACCACAAACCTAGTGGTTTAAAGCAACACAAATTTATGATCTTATAGTTCTGCAGGTCAGAAATCCTAAAATCAAGGTTTCAGCAGGGTTGTGTTCCTTGTGGAGACTTTAGAAGAGATTCTGTTTCCTTGTATGGATGCAAATAATCCATAGTCAGTCTATAAATCAAAATTGGGGTGAGTTTATTATGAGCCAGGTTTGAGGACTATAGCCCAGGGCCTGCCTTCTCCAAGGAAGGAAGGGCACCAAAGAAGTGGGGTGCACAGAGTGGTTATATACCATCTTGGAACAAAGAGCATACGTCACGTATGACAGGAATGTCTCTTTTACTACCGTCAGGAGATGCTGAGCTGGCACAGCAGGTCGGTGGTCAGCAGGTCAGTGGTCACAAGGTGAGCACAGCAGGTCGGTAATTAATCTCCAGTTCCCAGGAAGAGATGCTTATCCCTAAGGAAATGCTGACATGGGGGAGGTTCCATCCCTATCTTTAAGGGCATCGTTCTTGTTTTGGGGACATAGTAAATGTTTAAAGCCGATGTACAATGTGTGCTCAACAGGCCACATCAGGCCCTTTTGGAAAGACAAGGTCAGGCTGAATTAGTTTGACACCAAATGGCTTCCCCATATCCTCCAGTGTGTCCTGTTGCTAGTCATTTATTTACCACCTGCCTTTTCTACCTTCCAGAGTCTGTCCGTATTCCTCGGCTCACGGCTCCCTGCCATCTTCCAAGCCGGGCGCCATATTGCTCCACTGTCTGCCTCCATCGCCACCGCTCCTTCTCTGACTCACGCTCTCCTGATGCCCTCTGTCCCCTTAAGGACCCTTGTAATTACACTGAGCCGACCCAGATAACCCAGGATAATCTCCCCCTTTCAAGATCCTTAACTTAATCACCTCTGCAAAGTCCCTCTGCCATGTAAAGTCACATACTCACAGGTTGTGGGGCTTAGGAGGCGGACGTCTTTGAAGGGCCATAGTTCTGCTGACCACAATAAGTATGTAAATGGCTGCAGACTATAACAATGGACCCCGTCAGAGGAAGCACTCTATCAAAACACGCCATCCAGCTGGTGCATTGTATGGTGTGGATAAAATGTAGACTAGGCGGCAACTGCCTTCCTGCCGGGGCCTGAGAGAGGGGAGGGACAGGCTGTCTGCAGGTGCTCAGCAACAAGGGCTCAGTAGGACCACCCTCCCAGTCCTCTCTAACCGGGGCGCACAAGCTCTGCACTCCTCTACTCCATCCTCAGTGGTCCAGAGGGGATGTGCGGAGTCACATGAGCCCCACGATTTGAATTAGAGGGTATCTATTTATTCAGGGCTTGCTCAGACTTTTTTTTTTTTTTTAAATTTCTAGTGAATCATTCACTTTGGCAACAATGATGGCTTTAGAATTCTAAATGAGTTATATTGGCTTTGTGTAGAACCAACGCCTAACCTGTATTTTGCGGCTTCAGTCAATGCGTTTGGGCCCTTCAAATACATCCTGCATTTTGTAGTAAAAAGTTAAAATCCTGGTACCTCTTCTCATGCAGCGTGTTGGAGTGTTTTATAAACTAGGAAAATCTGGAAACAGTACAAACATTGCCTTAAAAAGCCACTTTTGAGGGTCGGAGGAGTCCGTCTCAGCTACACATTTTGGTGCTATGATACCTCATGAGAAGTTGAAGTTTTGTAGGTATTTCATTTTTAAAAACCCCAGTAGAGAGATAACCAGAGGACAAAAATGGAGGGAGAAGATTTAAAACCATTTCCCTGAGAGTCACCCTGAGCCTGGCTTGTCATTCAAACTAAAAGCTGCCTAATGGTTCCGATTAAACAAGATTATTCGTGTTCTTTTCTTTCTTATTTTCGTGGATCTGATCAGCATCACATATACAGGATAACTACCTCACTTAAAGAAAATGCTCCTATTCACGCACAGTCACCTGCCTCAGACTCCTCTAAGAGAGGGTCAAGTCATTTCTCTATGCTTCAGTCTTCTCATCTATAAATGGAGACAATAGTATTATGTTGCTTTTAGAATTATTGTGAGAATTGAATTAAGTAATATATATAACGTACTCCATCCGGCACAAGATAAGGTTTAATAAATGTTAGCTATCATCACATTACTATTATCTTATCCTGAAGGTATGGAAACTAATAAGCTAACTGCAAAGAATTTTCTAAATGGAATTCAGGTAGGAAGATGATTATAAGGCTTACAATGATTACTACTAGGAGAAATATTACTACTAGGAGAAATATCAGTGTAGGAGAGAAGAAAAGAGGAGGTCGGTGCAATCAGAGAAAACGCTGGTGCACAGATTTCTGCTGTCCGTGGAGGTGAGCTGGAGAAGGCGCAGCAGGATCCCCAGAGTGGAAACCAGCCACCTTACACCTGGAAGAGCCCTGTGCCTCCAGGCCCTGGAGCTGCTCTGCTTGGACTGATGGCACCCTGAGGAAGAGGTGAAGGGGCCTCTCATAATGCAGAGACTGACTGGTCTGTCAAACCATCTACCTGAACATC